AATATTGCAAAGCTAGTTAACCTTAAAGCAAATTTACTAGAGCAGTTTGTATCTATTTTATAAATTTATCTAACTTAAATCCTTATGATATTTATATGATCCTAGTTTATAACTTATACTAATACTATTAGTTTGTAAAGAGTTTTACTAAAATATAACTGCTAACGTTAGTAAGTCTTAGTGTTTTTTTATTCAACTTATCCTACTACTAAAGACCAGATATAAGTCTTTTCAAAACTACTTAGACTAAGTTATATTACTAAGATAGTTTGATATAATTTATAATATAAAGAACAAAGAGAGTTACTTTATTTATAATACAATAATAAGATTAAAAGAAAACTAAGTTATCTATACTTAGAAAGTCAAGTTTCTAAATTATTATAAAAAACAAATCTAATGTACAAGAAAAGAAAAGCTAAAGTTTATATAGCTTTTTACAAGAGTAATAAATTTAATAAAATAATAAAAATAAAATGATAAGAGTAAAAGAGATAAGTGTAAATAATAATAAATATAAAAAGATAAATGTAATTAGTATAAACTGATAAGTGTAAATAAGAATAAATGTAAAGAGCAACTAAAAATAGTACATGAATAAGAAATGTAATAAATGTAAATATAATAAGTATAAAATGTAATAAGAGTAATAAATGTAAATATAGTGTAATATACATAATAAGTGTAATTACTACTCTGTTTCTAAGAACTATTACTTTTTAAGCACATGTAACTATTCTATCTAACATGAAAACTCATAACAATATGAACTTCGAAAGTTCAAAATATCAATTTACTTAATCACTTATATACTGTATTTCATTATATTTTGATCAGATATCCAACGGATTTATCAAAAAATGACAGTTGAAAAAAATAGTCTCGGATGATCCAAGCTCTAATTTAGAAGATCTATCTGTATTAAATAATTTTTAATGACATTTACTATTAGAATTACTCTACAGTTTAGAAGTATAAGTTAGAGACTGGAATCGATGAATAAATAACCGATATCGACAACCGAGTTTTCTTTAATCAAATATTCACCCGAGCATCGGTCATATAAAAAATTTAATTAAAATCTGATTTTTATATTTTGCAACACGTAAAAGGTACCCCAAGGGCCCCAAAACAAAAAACTATTTAACTTGATTGTTAATAGAGAAACTTGACTTTAAAAAATTCGTCAATCTCTAGTATAAGTAATTTATTAAATAAAATCCTTCTTACAATCAAGTATATATATAATCTAAAAATAATTCATCCTATTCTTATTAACATAAAAGAAAATATTGAGTTTATTATGCAATATACCAATTTAAATATTATAAAGTTAATAATAAAGTAACCGGCTTTTACTTTATAGATTATGAAAATCACATATAAATTTTTCTAAGTAAAAAATATACATATAAATACAAAACATTTTTTTTGAAAAAAAAAATTTAATAATCACATTTAAAAATTTTTTTTTCAAAAACCGTCCATGAAAACCAAGGTATTGATTTTGTATGGTCTTAGTATAAAGAAAGGGCGAACGCTAGTATTGAATAAGGATATTACGGTATTATACTAAATAATGAAAAGTTTTTAAATAGTTCCACTAGATCCTAAATTTCTATTAGCCGTTACCGAGGCTGATGATTGAACCGATCCAGCATTGGTTGTATTTGATCTACCCAATGTTGAGGAAGGTTGTTTTTTCATTGATACCTATAAAACATTCAAGTTTCATACTTAATGTTATCAAATTAATATAAAAATATAATAAATTATTTACCTCAATCCTGGATATTGCGACTTTATAGGCCTCGTAAACATGCTCCACAAGTAATGAATTTGGAAACATCTCATCCACTAATTCTTCGTCAATATCTGAGGGCCACAGACTTAATGTCATATCCGTAAGGTATGTATTAAGTGAATGTTTACTATTATTATTTTCAGCTGATAAAAACCTTTGCATGAATCGTTTAAGTGCTATAGTAAATGCTTCTGCTGGTAATTTTTGCTGTTGTGTGGATTTTTGATCAAAATCTATTGCGTCAATAATTTCATTTTCCATCGACGGTTCAAGTTTAACTCTGAATTTATCATGTATGTATTTAATTGCCATATTTGCTATTTGCTCTTCAACTAATTCGTATAATGCTATTACATGTTTAAGTTGTAAATCTACTCCTAGTAAAGATTTAAATCCTGTACTTTCTGCCAACGTCGAAAGTTTCATCCATTGATTTACAAATTCTTTTATTGAGAGGTTCCCATCACCAACTGATGTTCTTTTGACAAAACAAATAAGAATTTCCAGAAATGAGAAAAGTTCTGATGCATTATCAATGGAATAGCTTGATAACAATGGCTGCTGGTGCATATATGAAATAAATGGATTGTTGGACTTGCCAGTAATCAATGTTAATTTGTCCGATGGAATCGGTTCTTGTGGAATTAAAACTTTGATTTCCCCTAAGATTCTCATGGATCCTTGGAATAACTCCATGTGATATGGGAATGGTTCCAAATATAACTGTTGTTCGGCTCCGCCCGCTATATGAACCTTCTCCGCAACTATTTTATAAGCAAGCTCCGTTTCTATTTTCTGTAAATCATATATTATATCTTGTCCACGCCCGATTCCAAGATTATGCTGGCTATATTGAAGAATATCTTTATCCCATGAATAGTTGATAAAATTAGCTTCTTGTAATGTATCTAGCTTTTTGGATTGGATAAAGTAAGGATTTGGTGTTTCTATCGCTAAATTAGGTATAGGGTTTGTGGAAGATGATGAGACATTTTCATATGTGACCCAAGAAAGTTCTCGTAAGAAATTAAGAGAATGGCATGATCCACCGGGGATGGCCATGACTTCTTGTAAGAAATTATTTTGTAAAGTGATCAAATATTCTAGAATTGCACATAAATAAATTCCGGTATCCCTTCCTTCCATCAACCCAAATACTATAGTACTATTAATATTGATATGAGGCTTTTCATCTGGAAGTTGATGGCACTGATATCTAGTTACATGACCAATTGTTTCATTCCATGCATTGGCAAAATCATTAAAAGCCAAAGATAATGACTCATATGTTTCTTGCAATTGACCATTAATCGATTGATCTTCAATAAAATCTTTGAATGTAATTTGGTTAGCTTCTTTTCTGGTTAATCGATATCCAAGTCGTGATGCCAATATTTGAACGAATTTTACTATCGGGTAAAGATTTTTGATGTGTGGTAATTTTTCGAAATGCTTAAAATAGATGTTTAAGAATGGGAATACTTGTGAATTATATTTGATATCTCGATTATAGTAAGCTCTTAAACTGTCAAAACTTGTTTTTACAATTGTTCTGAAAAGCCGTGGCAAATATTCTTGGCAATATCCTTCATCCATTGGTAATGTTTGATTTATTTCACCTTCAAGAATATTACTAGTAACTTGTGCATTCCTGATTGCTTGATCTAATTGAGCTCGGAAATTTGTTGTTGCTTCAGTAACGCTTTGAATTTTCGGAATAATGTAAGTCTGCGAAAACATTATCTCCCATCCGTCTCTAGAGAATGATGAACTAAGCACTTTATTATGTTTAGTTGGTGGGTTATTGACCATTTCGGTAAGGATTAAATGTATCAATAAAGCCAAATTTTCATCTGAAACATCAAGTAGTTGCTTGAGAACATTCCAATCATTCTGAATATGTTCCATACAATATTTTTCAATGTCATTAACATTATTATTATTTTTCTTAACAAATGCAGTGGCAATTGTGGAAGGTGCCGATGCTGCAATGATAACATGAACGAACAAATGCAAAATACGATAAGAAGCTGGTATCATAGAGCGAACACAGTATGACAATGAATTATTGGTCGATTCTGCGATATATCCTGCTTGGTCGCTTGATACCACCGAGGAAATAGGTGCTGCATCTAATCGTCTGTTACCTGCCGCTATGTTATAACCTTTACCACCGATAGCACTTTTGCATTCAGGACATTTGCTTTCAATGACAGCTCCGCCACAGTTTGCTATAACATATTTGAATCCACATTTACATGCATATCTAAAGTTATAATTATGGGAAATATTCAGCATAAAAATATTAAAACAAAAGTATTAAATTTATTTTCAATTGATAAATTACCTAGAAACTCCGCCAACAGCAATCGCTAAATAAAAATCATTATTTAGTAAATTGTTAATGTTCTGCGGATCTGCATAATTTGATCAATTATCAGTTATAATTTTGGTAAAATTTGCCGATCATTTTACTAGATTTTGAGCAAATTTTACCAGAATTATAACTGAATGGGTTTCTCTATTGATCAAATTATGCAAATTCGCCGATATGAAATAATAATTACTATAAAAATAACACTTACCATTGAATACAACAGATTCAATATCAGAGGGGCATGCTAATATATATTGATCCTGACACTCTTGTAATTTATGTAAATAAGCAGTTAAGGGTGAAGAATCTTCCGACAAAGAAGCATGTGCTCCAATAATATGTATAATAACAGACTTCATAATCAGTTCAGTACTACTCATTTGAGGAGATAGTTGAAATAGTAGAGTTTTGTTTGACAAAATTCTAGCTATTATTTGTTTATAAATCGCAGGTAAATTGCCAATTCCAGTAATTTCATAATTTATATAGTCTGCTGCTTGTTTTTCTATATCAACTAATTTACGTGAAGCCCTAAAAGCATAAAGTTTTGACACGATGATTCCTATTATTGCTATTTGTGCATCAATTGAGTCATTCAGTCGGATCCGGTCTAAAAATTGATTTAAAGGTGCCTTGTTTTTGAAATTAAGTAAATTAGAAAATGCCTTCTCAGCCTCAGCGTAATCGGGCACGGACCAATAAGGGTTAAATGGCAACCGACTTTCATCATCGTTATTCCATGAAAAACTATTGAACCACGGTAATATTTCTTTATGCGATTCACCTAATTTCTTCACATCATCAATAGCATACCCTCGTTGACGTAAATCTCGGAGGAAATAGATTTTTAATGAGTGTATTAATGGATGTGTCAAACTCATAGAACTGTTAATATCTTCGAGAAGTGCAGGACCACTAAATGGATTGAATTCCATATCAGGAAGTTTGATTGGTTTGTCAACATCCTTTGAAATCATAGAATCCCAGAATTTTTGAACAAATTCCTTAAGGAAAGCGATAGAAACAATTCTTTGCAGCGGTTGAACTCCAGGACTATATAAAGCACCTGCTGCTTGTCGAAAATAAGGTGCCAATTGATTCAACTTACACTCCCAGAAAAATTCGAGTTGAATAATATCACAACATAACGCTGCTATTCCAGAATTAAGATCGGTAGTTTTTAGGCTACTATTAATTACTTCAAGCTTTTGTGAAATTTTTAAAATTTCCGCAGGTTCCTGGATCAAACGGAAAAATACGTTATTGTTTTCTTCTTCTTCTGCTTTAAAAATTTTACTTATGATAGCACCCATAAGTGGGAATGGTAGTTGTGAAAATAATTCGTGATAAAGGTTAAGTCTAACCGAAGATTCAGATGGAATAATATTAAGACATCTTAAAATAAATGCTCTTCGCGAGTTCAAAATTTTCTCTGATTTGTCAAGTTTATTCAAAATATTCAAAACACTGTTAACAAACTTCCAAGAAAGAAATTCTTCAAAGCTATTATTTTGCCCAAGATTGATGATCTGAGTAATGCTTGAACGTGTGATGGATCTTGTGGAAAGTAAATCATTAGAAATTTGTAATAATTGAAAAGATTTTGAAGTTGAAGATCCTGAAATCTTTTTGCTAAGTGAAAGTATTTGAGTAACATCATGCTGCCAATGAATAATTTCACTAGGATGAATAGTTTCACCATATGTTCCTTCACAAATCTTTTGCAGCATCATTTTTGATGCACCTTCAACAAGGAATTGTTCAAAGATAAGAGGTGGTTTATTTAGAATTTGTTTTACAATTGTCGGACACATTTGAGCCAGTCGAAGTTCTGAAATAATAGAATTTCCATGTTTCCACCAACAAGTATGCAAAAGTATAATGTTTAATATCTTCTCTTTTCCAAGTCTTTGTTCAAAGATTAGTTCAAGCAATGCAGGATCCTTATCACCAGGTTCGTTATAGGCGATCACTGTTACGAAATCTTTAAAGTATAACATTGAAGCCCAGTCGATAGGTGATGTTTTAAGAAGTGGAACCATGTTAAGTATTTTATTGGTGAATTCTTTCATATGTTCTTCTGCCACAGATTTTACAAGTTCTCCAGTTCTCGAGTCAATATTTATTGGATCTTCATGTAATAAAGCTATTTCCTCTAAATAAAGAGCTTTAAATCCATCAATTTGTTTCATAAAATAATATGAAAATGGAAATTGTAGATCATAGACTCCAGGTGGCATTATGTAACTATCAGGGGATGGTTCAGGTAATTCTTCAATATTTATTATTTTTTTATCATTAAACATTTTCATCCAAAACTCGAGAAGTCGATTTACATCTCCTGGTTGAACTAATTTATCAATAAAAAAGAATGTTCTAGTTACCGATAATCGCTCAAGTGTGCATAGGATTCTAGCAATTGGTTTACGAACAAATCCGCGAATATGGGCCTGTAAGGCGATTGAGAAAGATGCATAAGGATATAATAATTTTTTGTTGGAAGCAACGATATATTGCCAATTTGTAGGTGAATGATTTTGAAGCCATTCTTGTGCTTGAGTTTTTAAACAATCTAGCAAATTTGGGTGTTTATAAATCTCTGAATTTAACCATCTATGAATAATAAATACAACATTTTAAGAAACTTTTAACAAACGTTTTATGAAAATAACAATGATGATAATTAATGAACTTACTTAATATGTTCAACAGATCTAGTATTAGAAGGATATTTCATACATAGCAAGCACCATAAAAGTTCTTGCTCCAAAATATCTTCGAATGGATAAGTTGTATTAATAATATCACAAAGACTTCCATTTAAAAGAATCGAAAGTGGCCTCTCTTGTGGCAACAAAGTTTCAATGGTGACTTGATTCCATCCGCACATAAAATTAAACGATGTAAACGATGTTTCTTGTTCTCGATGTATATGTAAAATAATACATGCATGTTTCTTTAATATTTTAATATCAGGCTTTTGTTTCCTTTTCGTTAAGAACTCATTTCGGAATTGTTCAATAATGAATTTAGCTAATTTGATACAACCAGCATTCACAGTTGTAACATCGCATTGAAGAACTAATAATTGATCTGTAGACTCTAACCAGAAATGCTTAACTCGATTTTGAAGTTGAGATTCAGTTTTAAAGGTCGAAAGTTTATCAACCTGACAATCAATTATATCATTTAAACATGCCTTGACATCTGTATTAATGTTGGAGAATGTGTTTACGATTATTTGAAACTCATTTAAATCGTCAAGTAATGCCTGGATATGGTCAGCAAGATGATCATGGTGCTGTTCTTTAAAGTAAACATTCTTCCAATGAGCGATTTCTTCGGGATCCAAGATGGATTTTTCTGTTCGAATAATACCATCAGAAGATGCAATGGCAATTAAATTTTCTTTACACTTTTCAAGAATATCGTCATCGTTGCTATGAGGGTTGCTTTTTTTAACATCAATAACCAAGCTTTGTAAGGTTTCATCTGGATCAAACCCGATGAAAAGATCTTTTTGGGAAAATTTACCATTAGGATCAAATGTACTCTTTCCAAACACAGTCACCATTTGTTTGGCCCAATTAGACAATTGCTGAACCAGCTCAGTCTCATGTTTGGTAAGTGTATCGTTGATAGTCATCTTTTGTTTTTCAAACCGATTTAAAAGTGGTGGATCTGCATGCTTAAGTTTTTTTTCATCAAGTACTAATATACATCTAAAGGTCTTCGCCACATAACTATGAAAAGAAGATCAGATGTTTGAGTATATATTCTTATCTACCATTTTATACATTAATTTATCGTTAACTTACAGCATAGGATTTGCGTAAGCACCGAGCGCTACTCTAGTATAATACTTTGGATCTTCGGCGCTGCCAACAACAATGTAATTTTGATTCCACAAATCGTAAAGACTTCCATAAATTATTTCTAAATCCGTCAAAATCAATGGTCTTCCCGCTTCTACACACATCTATAATAAACGCAATTTATTTTTAATTAAATTTATAATCCTAATAACGAACAAAAAAAAAAAAAAAAAAAAAAAATCTTACCATAATCCTACTCAAAACGCTATATGAATAATCATCTTGATCATCAGGAAATTGTGATCCCAAAATAACAACAGGATCTAGATTTCTTTTTCTTAATTGATATGTTAACAAATTAACAATAGAATCACTCTTTCCAATAACCATTAGATGTCTTGCTCCTTCATCATCCAAATTTGCATTAATAAGTTTTTCAACAGGAATTGGATTATAAATCCAATTTCTCGAATTATTAAAAGCTTTTAAAACTTCTCCAAAATATTTTTCACACAGAGTGGCATTTTGATCTGTGCCACCAAAATTACGGACAAGAGCCATCTGAATGTTTTCAGGCGTCATGTCACCTAGAGAAAGACTTTTTACTAAAGCGTAATAATCACGAAGACCATGGAAATTTGGAATTGATTGACCATTTTGCTCATAATTGGAATATGCGTCGGCTAACGGTTGAAGAGACGCTTTGGTAATTTGTCCAGTCGTTTTTGAATAGAGCAAGCGGACAGCCGTATCCACAAGATCATCAAGGTCGAACTTTGGCCTAATAACATGAATCATTTGATAACATAAATTAATAAGCAAAAAAAAAACAAAATAAATACTGTAATAATAATAATAATAATAATAATAATAATAAAACACCTTTGAACTAACAAAGCTCTACTACTTTTACTGTTATCCAATCTCCAATTAGAAATTCCAACCACAGAAACAGTCGACCCTTCTGAAGGGTAACTTGGTTCGAGTAAGGAATGTAATACTTTTAATGGATTAAAAGGACTGGTTTCAGCCAATCCAACTTCGTCAAGTAAAACAACACTGATTACAGGAAATTCTTTAGAACTCGTTTCCTGGTAATTTTGAGCTTTTTGAAAAACTTTAAGAATACCATCTGAAGTTGAGGACGATGAACCTTGATGAGGGATAAGGTAAACCTATGAAATCATATATTTATTAGAAATATTAATTAAAATAATAATGAATACCTGATTTCAAATACGTAAATACCTGTGGTAATTTTCTGAAATATTCATCATTTGAATCGGAGCCACGAAGATTTTGACTAACGAGTCGAATAGCCAAAGATTTTGAAGAACTATAAATAAAAATTATTAATATTATGATATTAATAATTCAAACAATTATAAGTCATATGAAAAATTCTTATTTACCCAGGGGCCCCAATAATAAAGACCGGAATTCTAGTAAGAATGCAGACAATCATTACCAAAACATTTTCTAAAAGGGCTTCATTCTTTGCGGTATTGGGAGGACAAGTCATCCGATTAATATAATCATTTTGCTCTTGTCTTATAACCTTATTAAATGTTTTCTCATCAACTTTAAGATTATCTAATCTAAATATATTTTCCATAGCAATTCGATATTTCTTTCTCAGAGATTGATCGTACAATCTAGATTGATAACATAATCCCAATGCAAGAATGTAACATCTTGTTGGAATCGAAATGTTGTCTCCTATTGGCGGATATTTTGGCGCATTCTTGCGAACAGGCGGTCGATTTTGTAAACTTTCTGCAAAGAAATTTACAAGCGTAATTGCTCTTTTTACGTCTCTTAAGCTAACACTGTAAGGCTCTTCAACCTCTCGAATGAACGCTTGAGATCTGAATAATAATTTTGCAAATATAAAACATTTAGTATCAAAATTTTCTAAAGAATTAGAAACCATAATTTGAATATATCTGCGTTCTTCTTCTGGGTGCAGCACACCATAATCCCAAACATAATCCAAAATTTGATCAGGTAGTGGCTTTACTTGATATACAAGATTACTTTGTTCATCGTATCTCTTCTTAGTTTTTAACCCTACGACGCTTTGACTTTTTGTGCGTATTCTATAAGGGTTGCATGCAGCAAATATCCTCATATTGGAATGAATCTGTTTACCAAGTAACGTCCGGTGGGCTATTAAATCAGCCAAAAGACCTATGTGGTTACAAGTATTGATCTCATCAAAAAATAACCATATTTCACCGTTCTCAGCTTTGGCTTGGGCATCACTCATGAATTTTAAAATTGCATTTTCGGTGACACCAGCATGAAGATTAAGAGGTTGAAATTCGACTTCAACAACTTTGGCTAGAAATCCGATTAAACTTGTCTATATAAAATAATTTAATTGATTTTATCACAAAAATTAATGATTTGAATTTATTATGATGACTATAAAATTATATTTACCTTTCCACATCCAGCTTCTCCACAAATTACCACCGGAATATTTGCACGAGACCTTAACAATATTAAAGCCATCTTTACCAAATTGTCTGCTGACAATGCATACTGTGGATACTCAATTTTGTGCATTGTTTTTCTTGCCAAGCATTCCAATTTCTCCAAAAGCTCATTTGTACTCATCTCATGATAATCCTCCAATTCCCAACTCTTATCTCCTATATATTGGCTTTTCAATAATGTTCTTACATTCTGCGGAACTTTTGCTTTATCTCGGTACAAGGCGCAAATAGAATCCGGCGTTTGTGATAAGAAAAATACTAATAAATGATTTGAATCATCCCATTGCACTATCGTACCCAGCCTTGCGTCTTCATCAGTTGAAGTCGACTCTAGTTGTGCCGCTTTCGTATTTATCGATCTCGTAGCGAAGTCTTTAGAGACATCAATCAATGTGTATAATAAAGTTGTTCTTATATTAGCATCTTTTATCATTAATTTCAAATTTTCACACTCGAAAAACGAGCTTGAAGACAATCTAACCAACTGATCTGCCAACACATTTACAAATATTTCTACAAATCTAAATGATGAAATATCATCTGCATTTTTTTTGTTTTTAAATAAATATTTTTCAATAAGCGATTGACATTCCTCAGGTTTTAATAGTACGATTGGCTCGTCATTTGTTGATCGAAATACAATATCTTTGTCATCAACCTTACTAGTAGAATGTGCGAGTAAGTAACGGCATACAACTTGTATGGGACTATTTATCTCTTGTGATACCATGAGTTTCTCTATATTCCATGTCAGATGCTCGCTCCTGAGACATCCAGTTATTGGTAAAGATTTAAGTAAATACTGATTGACTGTTGATGCAATCTCGATAAATATAAAAGTATCTGGAAGATATGCTATGTCCATATTATTTGAAACCACACCCAATGTTAACAATTCAAATAAAAACATATTAACATCCACCGGATGATCAGCAGATACAATATTTATATGCAAACTCTCAACGCGTCGAATCTTAAATTCCTTGAATTTATGAACAAGTGTTCCAAAATCAACTCCATCGCTAATAAGGAAACTTCTGGGAACTTTACCATTAGCAAAACTTTCTTGCCGAATATATTCGGATTTACCTTGACCTGACAAGTCAGATGATAAACATTTAACATTATTGGGATGTAATTCATTATAAATAACTTTCATGGCTTCAGTTCCAAGCCCATTTGTTGCATAAACGTCTTGTGAAAATTGATCCAAAATATGATGATGCATTCCGGTTTCACGACAACAAATAAGCGCTAAATGGTAATTAGTCTGCTTTTTGCGCATTGATCGGATATTGTTAACAAGATTATATTGCAACTCAAAATCAAGCAATTCTAGGTTCGCCATACAGAACAAATATCCATTATACCCATTGCTAGCAGCAAAAAAGCATCGTTTGATAAAGATCGTAAGTTCTTCCATAGTTGTGGAGGAAGTACATATTAGCAATTGCCATGGTTGAGGATATGTTCTAATAATAAACCATTAAAGGCACATTAAAATACGTTGGCAATAATTTTCATTTGAATACGCTGAAGATGAAACACACAAACTTACCCGTGATTGACATACAAACTCATGATAATATTTGGAACAAGGTTTTTATCACTACAAGCAGCAACGAACAGTTTTCCTCTATATACAACATCAGACATAACGCGCCCTCCTTTATCTTTAACACGACGCTTTTTACGGGGCACACTTGTAAAAATGTTTTGTAATTTGGTTCCAATTTGACAAAGAATTTGATAATAATCTTGTTCATCACTTGAAATAATAAATTCTGCTGAGTGTGATGGCAACGTGGCCTCACTATTAACAAATCGAATAAGGGTGCTACATTCTTCGTTGTTAAGAATCTGTTCTACGTTATCAGGATCATCCTTGCTTGTAAAATAGTCATAAAAGGCCAGAATGTGGCGCGCAGGAAAGAAAGTCAAATAATAATGTTCTTCTTGTGCCTTATTCACCATATCATCCCTGTAATAGGAATTTAAATTTTAGTTAATATTAACAAATAGCCATCACAATTACCGCATCCTACTGCAAATAAGCCATAATTTGGTTTTTTAAAAGTAATAATGCTTATATACGGCAAATTTCGTCAATTAAATGATATTTATTCATATTTTGAGTATAAAATAGCCAGTTAGGATGTTTATTCTCCCAAGTATTTATACGCTGCAGGATACGGTAAATATTACGTTAGAAAAACATTACCATTGCTTCAGATCTTTCTTCAATTCTTGCTCCAAATTTTGTAAAGTTTCAGTTCCTTTTGCATATCTACTAAATTCACGATATCCAAAATGTCCCATTTGAATTAATTTCGATGCAATATTTATAATCTCATTTGCCAAATCAACCTGTACTACAAATTCATCCATCACATTCTTAGCTAAATCGCCGTCGCCATGAATCGCAGCTAAATCCACAGCAGCTCCAGGCTTGGAGATTAAAAGAGCTCGTCCGCGCAAATCATGTAAATCATTCAAGCTATATGGTTTGGACTCAGTGCTAGATGGATAAGTTAGCATTACAGAACATCTATCATCTTTACTTACTCTTTTGAAAGTATATGTTCCTTTCTTAACCGCATTGCGGATCTTTTCTTTGGTAACTTCCCCACGATTCGAAATATTATTATACATATTTTGCAATGCCATATTGCTGCTATTACATAATGCTATTTTGCTACCTAAAGAAGGATTTGTATCAGTAATACCTCGTAAATCTTGCAAAAATTGCTCAAGAGACAAAGACTCAGCACTATTAAGTAATGGGAGTAAAAATTGCTTGACTTGAATAAGTGATGATACAGTATCCTCTTGAATAAGTCGCTCATCCGAATGATCATCTACACCATTAATTAAATTTTTAATATCATGCTCAGCAACCGATCGAAGAAATATTATAAAGTCGCTAGCATTAGACAATTCTTTAATCAATTCCCAACAATTTTCATCGATTGATGAAAGATATTTATTGTAAATTTCAAAATAATTATTCAGCTTTCCTAACCATAGATAATCCCCTTTAAGAGCTAAAAGTAATTTTTCAAGCCAATCATTCTTCGTATGCGTAACTCTGAAAATTATTACAACCGCAGTTAACTGTTGAAGTCTTTCAATTTGTATTGGAACTTTAGAAAGATGAGTAAGTGTATTAAGTAATCGTTGATTTCGTTCCATTTTAACGTAATTGTCCATAATATCAAGTTCATTATTTATATTTGAAACATTCTTCCATAGAATGCTACCTTCGGAACATTTAAGTTTTTCCCATCCTCCGTATTCACGACATAATTTTTCATATTCTTTAAATACTTTCGGAATCAAAGTTTGTGCAACTGTTTCTACTGTCAAGTCTTCTTTGTCTTCCTGTATGATAATCTCAAAAATGTTCCTGAATGTTTGAGATTTCGATGTTTTATATACTCGTTCTGCAGCACTTCTAGTTTTCTTGTGATACTCCCAATGATTAAATGTTTGCGACTCGTTGAGTGTAATGTTTCTTAATCGTTTTGTTCGTGTATTTATATCATCAAGATATTGTTGAACATCTTTGACTTTTCCATGTGAACAAAATTGTGTATAAAAAGTTCGAAGTTGGTCCAATATTAGTTCATGCATTTCACATTGTTTACGAAGTTTGCTTATACTATCTTTACTTAATATGACAGAATTTGAATCTCTTTTAATAATGGCAGAATCAAAAAATTGATACAATGTCTCATTATCATATTGCAAAAGTTCTTGCAAAGATCGAATAGAAATAGTTTCATTTTTAATAATTTCAGAAAATTTAAAAATTATGCTTTTAACTTGAATTATATATGGATGTTTATTCAATTGTTCAGTATGACCAGTTGCATGGAGAAGAAAAATCCAGAATTTTGAAGAATCAAGTAGAGATATCGCTGTAGAAGCTATCTTGTCGTCCAAAATAGGATAATTCAATTGCAGTCTCTCCATTGTATAACATATAATCTCTTCACATAATCTATTAAAAAAAAAAAAATCAAAAGGGAACTAAATGATCATATAAAATAAAATATATTTACTTCTATAAAAATAATACTTACTCATGAGGTATGTTAAAAACCTTTGAATTACAACCACAAATATATTGAAGTTTTGTTAAAAGATTGTCATCTGCTCGTCTAACTGAAATTTTTAATATGCCTTTGACCATTTCGCCAAAACGCATGTAAATTTTAGGTTCTAACTTAATAACAAGAGATGTTGCCCTTAAAATTTGATCTTCTGAACATTGCTTAACACGATCTATAGCAATACCAATTAATTGCACAAAAATATTTTGATGATTTTTAATAATCGGATAAATATGTGATAAATTATCGAAAACGGAATAAGTAAAATTCCGATCATCAAAGGATGTTTTTGATGTATTATCATTAGAATGATCTAACAATTGTTGATACCATTGGCTACATATTTCAAGAACAGTTTCGGATATCTCATCCTTTACATCATTAAATTTAAACCAGAATTGAAGAAGTTTCGGAAATATCGCTAATAAATTCACCTTTGAAGTTAGTGAAATTTGACGAAGTGCTTCAAGGAAATCTTCCTTGTGCCAATTAAGCTGAGAATCCAATAAAATATTTTGAATAGAATTTGCATTTTGTTTATTCCATTCATGATGTGTATGGCCCAATAATTGTATAGCTCGTCTACGGAATGCTTCAGCAACTTCATTTCGAAGGTCAACAGGTACTTTTTCAAAATGTTTTGTTAAATCTATTGCATCTCCAGTTGAAATTATTATCTGAACACGATTAAGAAAAGGCTTGCGAAGTAATTCATCTCTTTCTGGAGTGTGTTCAATAATATCTGCCCAAATGTTTAAGAGTGGATCAAAATTACAACACATATGGATCAACCACTAAAGAAATTTAAAAAAAAAAAGTTATATATATATATAATTTACATTTATAAAATTTTGATCAATTTAAAGCTTACACTAGCTATCCTAGCATAGGTTTTATCATTTTCAATATTAGTGATGTATGGCACCACTTGTCTGGGAAGATAATGTTTGATAAACTTTTGCATAAGTTCTTCATTATATTTCATATCTGTCAAATCTTCTATAAATGAATAATTTGGGTCAACCATATGAGCAACAACAAACACTTTAAGCCAATCAAATGCACCCTGAAAAGCATTGTGCCGAACCAGTGCAGAGATAGCTGCTAAAAGTGCTTCATGTGCATCCTCAGGTATATTATCAGGCTGATATTTTTCAAGACATTCAATAAACGGAAGAGAAGGGAAATTTTTTGGCAATGAATAATAATTGGCAAATGAATATGCCCGTCGATTTTGAACATAATGGCCTAAGAGAACACACAGGAAAAGACGTTTTTCCTTTGATTTTATTTCCTGAAGACAATCAACAATATATCGAAGATCAGTGCTTTCCCTAGTTAATATCTGAAATTTGTTCAATATATCTTGATATTCCGTAATCTTTTCCTTGATATTATCAGAGGTCAAGGATTCACAGATAACTTCCACAAATGTAAAATCACGAATTTCTTTGATGGAGGCTCTATTGCCACCAATTACAATCTCATCCACTATATCAAACTGATTGCCACCTTTAAGTTCCAAGAAACGAAAATCATTTTTAATGCCGACTTCAGGATAGAGATCACCTGTATCCTCTTTATTTTTCTTATCAGTTTTCCGGGGAACATAAATTGCATACCTATACCTGATGCCTTCTTCATAAGCAGCAATTGGTATTGACACTGGTTCCGAAATCCAATAGGTTGTATATTGATGTAAATATTGACGTCGATATGGTTGTTGAAGTTGAATAATTGGCTCCTTCCACTTTCCTAATTCTATTATATTGCCTATCACGACTGGATTTCCTTTACTTTCAATATTAGGTGGAAAATGAGCATGAAATACAACTTTAACGGTATCAGAAGACTCATTATCACGCCAAGAAGAAGGTAAAAATTGTTTCAATACCGAAGCTTTTTTAAAAAATTTTTTTGTTTGAGTTTGATTTGATCCTTCTGCAGCATTATTACTACGTTCTGAGCCTTGTATTAGATTATTTTGAGTAAGTTTTGATTCATCAGTATTACTATTTGTACTTTCATCGACATTAAATTCAGTATTTTTTCCTTTTCCAATATCATTTAAATCATTATTATCCTCATCTTTACCGTTAATATCGAATACACCAGCAAAATCGATTTTATTTTCGTCAGAATTTTGTTGATTAAAAGTCAAAGCATTGTTCAACCCAAACTTATCAGATTCTTCAGTTTCATTAAATACTCCATTATCGGGCAAATCAGAATGTTTGCCACTGAAATTTTCATTATCAATTTCATCTCCTTCATTGATTGGCGCAAGTTTTTGTGAAAAACTCGTTTCTAAATTATTATTTTCATCATTTAAACTAGAATCATCTTGCCGTTGTATTGCTTCCATTGAATAAATTATCGTTTTGAAGTTAAAAAAATTGGTAAATAATTATAAATTATATATAAAATCCCAAACTGGCCTATCACCAATTTACACGGAGATTCCGGAGTTTCAATTGGTGTCGCCAACGTTGTGTGATCATAAATTTATTTATAGTTATCACGTTAGTCTTTGTTTAGGTTTGGCAAACCCCGAATTTTCATACTACGTGCATGAACATTTTTAGCTAAATTGTTTATACGTATCGATACGTACGTATACGTTTACGTATTCCTTTTTCTTTTTTTTCTTTTTTTGTCAAAATAAAGATTATAAAATTCTAAAATTTACTTTTTTTTTTGATTTTAACCCTTTATAAAATTTACTTTTATAAAATAAAATATTTTTGTTTATTATGTTATTTCTAATAAACTAATTAACAACCTACAAGTAAATTTACGCTCCGTCTACATATTTGCAATTGGGAAATTTAGCATTGTTTCTAATTTTTAAGTTTTATATATGACCAGACAAAGAAATTTATTTCATAACCTTGCTGGGTCAAAAGAGAATCAACCATAGGAATGCATACTGTAGTTTGTTTATCTTAATAAAAAACGGTTTATTATTTACCATTTATTAGATAAACTCGAAGTGCCCATAATTGTAAACTTCATTCTACATTAGCAAATTGTAAAAAAGATACGTATTAACTGATAATTTAATCGAATGAATTTTTTTGATTGTCAAAAACTTGCAGATACAAATTCGGACGGAATATATATAAATTATCAGAAGTCACCGAGACACCTAGTTCTTAAAATAACCATTAAAGATGCGGATTTAGCATAACAGAGAATTATAATAATAGAAATAATAGATGTGGGAAATCGGATGCTATGCTGAAAACACGTAATCTGCAATGTAGATCATAACTAGTGATTTGAACCGAAAATTCCTTAGTCGGGTAACCGAACCGAAATATTTAATGTCAACCGATTGCAACCGATTAAGATTACTTCACACTT